AGCCACAAAGCCTTAGGAACATGCATGTCTCACTTGTGTGTAGTTGGGATTTTCTATGTAACTGCTATTGTAACATACATGAAACCTGCATCTTATTCACCACAGGAAGCCATGATTAATACACTGTTCTTTACTGCTTTGCCTGCCATGGCAAATCCCTTTATATACAGCCTGAGGAATCAGGATGTCTTGGAAGCTCTGAGAAAAACCTTCCGAAAACACAGCTTGCATGACTGACTAGATAATAAAAACATACCCATAACAGTGAATATTTTCTGTTTGAAATCTGGGCATGTGCTCCAATAGAAGTTCAGTTATTGATATTTGACAGCGTTGGGTGTCTCTTTTTAATGGCTGATATTTTATTGATGGAAAAGTGAAGTAAAATCCAAAGACTACATAAAGGAGTTTGAGTCTAAAATATTAAATCCTCTAATCTACTTAAATTATTAGTATACCTAGGGAAAGTGACATTTCCTTTAAGCATCTCAGTGGCAGTAGGTGCATGGTGATGGACAGATATCGTACAGAATTATTATTTGAGGTTTTTTTAATGAAAAAAGTTTCTTTGATGGTGCAGAATAGAGGATGAATTTCTTAGAGTTTAAATGTTCATATCTATTCTGATGCCATTATGCATATACATTAAAAGTGTCCCACATAGAATAACCAAGGCCATTCTATTCTGTTAAGGATTGCCCTTTCATATCGTTTCCAGAACCTTTGGAAAGTTCCAAGCCAGAACAGAGTCCTAAAATTAACTGGGCTTTGTGGAAAGAGTTCATCATATTGGTTCCCTTTGTTGCAAAACTTTCCCCATTTGAAGCCAGGAACAGCTCAACATTTAAACCAAGGGTGTCAAAATCAAGGCCTGGGGGCCGGATCTGGCCCACAGGGTACTTAGATCTGGCTCGTGGGACCGCCTTGGAAACAGTGAAGGACTGGCCAACGGTGACTCTTAAGTGAAAATGGAGCTCTGGAGGCCCGTGTGTGACCTGCCCAAGCTCCATTTTTACTGGAGGAGGGTTGCAGGAGGCCATTGTAACCGAAAAGGGAGGTTGGGAGCCCATTTTCACTGGCAGAGCGCTCAGGCCCCCACAGGCGCCCCCAATATGAGTAGTATTGAGCTGGCCACGCCCACCCCGGACCCCCAAAGTCAAACACAACCCTGATGTGGCCCTCAATGAAATTGAGTTTGACACCCTGATTTAAACCTTCTGGCTCATTTCTGAAACAAATAAGTCTTCGTCTTTGCTTTAATGCCTTTTTGCACTACAAAAAAGGAGCAACTGTAAGTCCTGTTTTGGAAAATTGGAAGGATTTGTTTTGTGAAAAGGAGGGGGACTATCCCAAAAGGGCTTGTTCATGAACTGTGCCTTTTGATACATAGACGGGTACTGTAAATACTCTACTTTCTTGCCCAGTGTCCATGTCCCTCTCTCTCCCCCCATATTTTGCATACTTTTTATCTTTTTTTGGCCACTTAATAATTTTGAGGTTTCCTCATATTTAATAAATGAATGTCATCAAGCCATGTTTTTTTGCTAATGGAACTGTGGAGAGTGGCATGTGTGCTATGATAAAATATGAACTTTTGCACATGAAGGAAAAAATAATAATGGTCAAGGATGATGATGATGTAGCACAGGTAGTACTCAACTTATTATCACAGTTGGGAATGGAACTTCAGTAACTAAGTGACGAAGTCATTGTGAGCTGCGTTCAATTTTATGACCTTTTTTTGCTGCAGAATGGTGGGGTGGAAGCTTCTCCCATTGACTTTGCTTGATGGAAGTTCCCTGGGAAGGTCAGAAATGGCTGTCATGTTACCTTGGGATGCTGCAAACTTTGTAAATACATGCCAGTTGCCAAGCACTCAAATTCTGATGATGTGATCATGGAGACACCATATCATTTCTAAGTGTGAGGAACTGTTAACACCTTTCCTTACCCAGAGGTCATAAGAGAGAGAGAGAATAGTATTTTGGACCACACATTAGACAAACAACCTATTGGGATCCTTGTATTAAAACAACAAATTTCATGTACTGCCAAAATTTAAAAATCTGAATTTATTTGAATGAAATAATTCAATTGAGATCTGTATGTATATGTGTGTGTGTGTGTCTCTCTCTGTGTATACACACACACACACACACAGACATATACATGTGTACACATATATACACATACACATACAGAGAGAGAGAGAGAAAGGTCTGATAGGGATAAATTATAGGGATGATACAAAAATCTGATTTGCATTCTTCATTTTATTCTTTTTATTTAGTTTATTTCTTTTATTCCATTTTACACATGGTCTTACTAACATTCTGTTTTTTATATTCTGTATATTGATATTGGCTGATCAACAATAAAGTTACTAAGAAGACATACTTGCATAGTTACTGTTCTATCTGTACCCTAGACTAGGGTTTTTCAGGATTCTGTAAAAAAAATTCCACTGAGAAGAAAAAAGTTCCCTCAAATATATCAACAATTTTTCTATCATTAGAACTTTTGCCTAATTTACTTCTGGGATTCTGGGAATTTTATTGCTTTTGAAACTTACAAATTCTGAGGTCTGAATAAATTAAAAACCCTCATCTCTATATTCACTGAGTATTATGCTCGTAATAAATACTTAATTCTTTGTGATTCATTTTCATATCATAATGATAGGTCATAGTCATTTATGCAGCCTGAAGAACTCACTGTTTCCTGAATACTGAAAGCTGTCCAAGAATGGGAGAGGTTTTGTGTTGGAGAAATGTGAACAAAATCAGGATAGATCTCCATTGGGGATGCACCAGTTGGACCAAACAAACTTCACATCTTCTTTCAATTCTTCCATCTCTTCCGTTCTATGACTTCATGGATCAGGGGTGAAATCCAAAATTTCTTCCTACCAGCTCTGTCGGCATGGCTTGCTGGGCGTGGCAGGGGAAGGATATTGCAAAATCTCCATTCCCACCCCACTCTGGGGCCAGCCAGAGGTAATATTTGCTGGTTCTCCGAACTACTCAAAATTTCTGCTATTGGTTCTCCAGAACCTGTTAGAACCTGCTGGATTTCACCCCTGTCATGGATTAAATACACTTCTGGCTTATAGACATTCTATCAGTATTATGAGTGCAGCACCATATATATCTAAATTCTAGGGATCTGACTGAAAGAGGCAGAGCCACTCCACTTTTCCATTCCCTCACTGCCCACACAAGATGAATTAATCCTACTTTATTATAAGGGCACATTAACACAATCTTGCCAAATCTGAAAGTATGGACTTCCCACTGCCACTTTTAACTGCTTGGTCCATTAGGGCAGATCTTCTTCAGCCTTTTCCTTGACCATTAAGCCACTGAGGCCTCCTGCCTCTCTTGTCTTATTGTTTCCTAGGTAGCATCTCTTCCCCTCATTTCCCAAGGTCATCCACATATTCTATTACACAACGAGATGTCCTTCAATTATTTGGACAGCAATTCTCAAAATCTCCAGAAGAGGAGAATGCCATCTAGTCAGCCTTTAGCAGTGGTGGGATTCAATTTTTTTAAAACTACCAGTTCTGTGGCTTGGTAGGTGTGGCATGGCTTGGTGGGCATGGCATGGTGGGTGTGGCAGGGGAAGGATACTGTAAAATCTCCATTCCTTCCCCACTCCAGGGGAAGGTAACTGCAAAATCCCCATTTCCTCCCGATCAGCTGGGACTCAGGAGGCAGAGAATAGATGGGGTCGGGGCCAGTCAGAGGTGGTATTTACCGGTTCTCCGAACTACTCAAAATTTCCACTACTGGTTCTCCAGAACTGGTCAGAATCTGCTGAATACCACCTCTGACCTTTAGTATCAATAGGGTCAGTGGTGGGTTTCAATTTTTTTTACTATCCATTCTGTGGGCGTGGCTCGGTGGGTGTGGTGTGGCTTGGTGGGCATGGCTTGGTGGGCATGGCAGGGGAAGGATACTGTAAAATCTCCATTCCCTCCCCGCTCCAGGGGAAGGTTACTGCAAAATCCCCATTTCCTCCCAATTAACTGGGACCTGGGAGGCAGAGAATAGATGGAGGTGGGGCCAGTCAGAATTTTTACTACCAGTTCTCCGAACTACTCAAAATTTCCACTACCAGTTCTCCAGAACTGGTCAGAACCTGTCAAACCCACCTCTGAATAGGGTTCCAAAGGAAATTGACTCTGATTGTTCTTTGGAAGGACAGATACTGAAGCTGAAGCTCAAACATTTTGGACACCAAATGAGAAGAAAGGACTCATTAGAAAAGACGCTGATGTTGGGAAAGTTTGCAGGCAAAAGGAAAAGTGGATGGCAGAGGACGAGATGGCTAGACTGGAAGTTTTTAAGAAGATATTGGATAACCATTTGTCTAAAGTGGTGTAGGGTTTCCTGCCTAGGCAGGGGGTTGGACTAGAAGACCTCCAAGGTCCCTCCCTGTTATTCTGTTATTCTGTCATGTGGATGATGGATAAATCTATTCTAATTAAGTCTTAGACTACAAAGTCTATTGATTTCCACTTTAATAGAATAGAACACAATAGAAATTGATTGTGTTCAGTGTCTTTAGGAATAATTTAGACAACATGATAATTTTGACTGCCCTATTGGTAGAAGTGACCACATCACACCTTAATTAGTCCTCAACACATTATTATTTTACAAGTATTTACTGAGTTAAATAAGGAAACAACCATTTTTAGGTTTAATCGTCTTAGATTTGAGAGCTCTAAAGATTTCTCATAGAAAAACTCAAATAATTCTGTACAATATTTCCATATTGCCAAGCACCTATTGCAATTCAGATGCTTAAAGTAAAAATCAATTTCTCGGGGTATATTAATGATTTCATAAGTAGATGAAAGGTTATAGCATTCTAGACTCCTGCTCCATAATGTAGTCTTTGAATTCATATGTCCCCTTTCCATCAATTAAATAACAGCAATAAAAAAGAGACATCTAATTAAACTTCCAACAACTCAGTAGAATGCACTTCTACTGAAGCAGATGCTCAGATTACCAACAGAAAATATTCGCTTTCATGTTTTTCCTATCAAGTCACTGATGCAAGCTGTGTTTTCCAAAGGTTTTTCTCAGAGCTTCCAAGACATCTCGATTCCTCAGGCTGTATATGAAGGGGTTTGTCATGGCAGGTACAGTGGTAAAAAACAGTGTATTAACCATGGCTTCCTGTGGTGAATAAGAGGATGCAGGTTTCATGTATGTTGCAAGAGCAGTTACATAGAAAATCCCAACTACACACAAGTGAGACATGCATGTTCCTAAGGCTTTGTGGCTCCTTTGAGAAGATCGTAGCCTCACAACTTGGAGGAGGATAGCAACATAGGAAGTAAGAATAACTGAGATGGGGATGAGAAGTACCAGGAAATTTCCAGCATAGATTGTTTGTTCAAAAGCAGAATTATCTGAACATGACAACTGTATAAGTGCTGGGTAATCACATATGTAATGGTTAATCACATTGGACTTGCAGTAGGGAAGGGGCAATACATAAAGAGAGCAAGTGAGAGCCTGGACAGTCGACCAAAACCAGGCCACCATTGACATCATATAACAGACGTTTCTCCTCATGAGAATGGGATATTGCAAAGGTTTGCAGATGGCCACGTACCTGTCATAAGACATGGTTGCCAGGATGAGGCATTCTGCTCCTGCCAAAACCAAAATTACAGAAATCTGGACAACACATCCATAGAGTGAAATGGTATACCTCTTAGTTAGAAAGTTGACCAATACTTGTGGAACAATGGAGAGAACTTGGCAGATATCCATGAAAGCCATTTGACTAAGAAAGAAGTACATGGGAGTCTGAAGTCCAGAGTCTGTCTTAATCAGAAAAATAAGGAGGCTGTTTCCCATCAGAGCAACCAGAAACATGAAGAGAAGTCCCCAAAGGAACAGGGTGGGTGACCATTGATGCAGAAGGCCAACCAGAAGAAATTCTCTCCATGAAGTTATGTTCTCCTCTCTCATTCCTCCTTTGTTGCCAAGCTTTTATCTAAAGATACAAAAATAATTTGGGAGAACATTTGTCATAAATATGTTGAAATCCACCATTATTAATAGATATTTTCCTTCCCCCCCTCCCCATTTTGTTTAAATTGAACAAACAGCATATCATGGGACGCATCTAATAAGATTATAACTAATGTTCAGAAGGAATGTAGCTGTATGTGATAATGCACAAGTAACATAATTTGGAATCTGTCTTAGATATGAATATGATAGCATTCTCCAACTCACTACCTTCCAGTTATGTTGAAATTAGATTTCCAGAATTTTTAGGTATCCCAGCAGATCTCAAATGTGCCAGACTGGGGAAAGTGCCAGACTGCACAAAGTCTCTCTGTGAGTCAGGTGGGCAGCCTCTAAATTTGATATATAAATTAAATGAAGAAAGAAATTGACCAGCCCAGGGTTCTCAAAGGGCTTAGGCTTTGTGCCTAAGATGGGACTAGAACTCAAGGTGCCCCATTTTCTAGCCTTGTGCCTTAATCAATATACCCAACTGGCTCTCTAGCATACATAAATATATATATACATCTCTAGGATTATTGTTTTAAAACCAATCTGTTGCCTTACCTGCAAATCTAAGTTGCATATTTGCATTGAACCTTGGCCCTTTCAGATCTGACATCTTAAATAACATTGGCTCAAATGGAGGCAGAGAGGCAGGCAAGCAGACAGACGATAAGATTGTATAATTATTTACTGAAATGTAATAAGATTTATTGATATACAATGAGATGGTGATAGACAGACAGACAGACAGATGGACAATGCATGCAAAAGTCTTCCATCTAAAAATGAGTGTCATGTTCAAGTAACTGTGCTTAGGATCCTTTGGTGTGGAGGATCAAAACTTTGGGCACCCTCCAAAAATGTCTGAACGATAACATCCATGAACCCCGAAACAGTGTTCATTATCAGGGATTATCTGAATTTTAGCTTAGGTAATTGATTGGATTGATTTGTTAGATTTCTATCCCCATCTCAAGAGAGTTAATTTTCCCCACAACAAAAGTATTGTGAGTAGCTGGAGCGAGGACAAATTTCTGCAGGGAACCTGAATCTGGGTTCTTTCCCCTTCGCTCTTCTGCCTCACTGGCTTCGTCTTGGGAAACATTTTGGAAAGCATCTGTTGCCTGTTGTCACCCTGATCCAGCTCACTGCACATTTCTGAGTATTTAAAAGCCCCCAAAATAACTTCTTTAGTAATAAGCACAGAAGAAAGAGCTCTGAAATACTACCACAATATGCCGTACAAGAGTAGTCACAAACCCCAAGTCAAAAATCTGCATTGCTGTGAATATACACACAAAAATTGACTTTTGTCTAATACTTAAAGCAAAAGAATATTCTCTTTATCCAACTTCTCTGAGGCAATTAACAACAAGCTTTAGTTTTGCATCTCTGATAAAGAGCAGCAAAGGAAGATGAAAATTTTATTTTATGTATTTATATTTATTTTATGTATCCAATCCATGCTTATACTTATTACCAAATACGTTCTTGACAAAAATAAAATAAAATTTAAAAAAAGAAAGAGATGTTGGGCATCTGGGAAATAAGTACTTGTTTTTCAAGATCAGGCAAACAGATGTGTTTGTTCCTATCCCTGCAAAGAGTTATTTGCATTGTCAGGCGTATTTTTAAAATGAAATTTCAATTTTTAAACAAAGGGACACATACCAGCACACAGCCAGAGCGTCATTTATCACCATATGGATGATAAAGCAGGGATACAATTAGTAACATATGTGTAAATAAAATAATGATGTAAAAATAATAAATAAATAATAAAAATATAAATACAGATGTATGTATAAATACACCATTATATACTTTATGCAATATACTTTACCATAACATGGTTTTAGATATACATATACTATGCAATTATCACGTGGTAATTACATTTGCCTGTTTGAAAGTTATTTGCAAATATAATTGTATGAGTTAAACAATTGTATTACAGACCATTATAGAATATCACCTTAACAGGAATAATAATCTTTTCAGAAATGAAATACTACATACCTGCAGGTGTTTGCAACAGCAAATGGGGAAAAATAGGGTCCTTTAAAATCAGAAAGCTCTGTTTGAGTTCTGAACTTTTGCCCAACTGAATTCTTTTGCATTGCTTCTTTCTAGGGTTGCCTAGCGGATAAGCGGGGGGGGGAGGGGGGGTTAAGTAGTAAAAAAAATTAAAAAAAAATTACAATTAAATTATATATTTTCTTACAAACATTTTAACACGCCATTTTAGGTCAGTCGACACAAGCTACAATACATTTTAAAAATGTGAACTGTACATAATTTTATAATATATTTTTATTTTAATCTCATCCTTAATTTTTTCGGAGAATCGAGTTCAATGGATATTCGATCTTTGTCTCATCCTAACTTATTAAAAAAAAGACAAAACGCGATTCTCCTATCCTTATTCTCTTAGATTACATACCATTTCATCATAAAGCTTTTGAATAAAAAAAATGTCCACAATTTTGTGAAAAAAAAATAGTGAACATAATGTGAAAAAAGCCGACTGTCCGCTCAAATAGGGGACACCTGGCAACCCTACGGGGCCATGGCTTCTTCAAATCATGCAGTATGATTCTATTCAAATATATGGTAATTATTTTTTCAGTGCAAGATTCATTGTCCTACATCTTGCATGAAACAAGTATAACTTCCATTATGAAAATCAGTGAGACAAGCTGAAAGTTTTAAAAATCAAATCAGGGAGAAAAATCTATGCTACAAATTTACAGATCAGTAACAAGTTATTGATCTGAGTTTGATCTGATCAGATACAAATCTGATTTTTAAAATCTAAAGTCTGAAGGAGGGAAAAAATAAGAAATCTATTTTTCCATTCCTAATTATCTGTAACTTACAAACTTAAAGGTTTATTTAATAATAGAGGAAGGGAGAAAAACTATACTCATTTTGAAAAACTCAAGTTACGGCCAATCTACTTTTCATTCTCTCTGCAGCCAAGAAAATCTTTCCTATATCCAGGGAGAGGTTCTAAGAGACTTCTACTTTAGGGAATTTGATTCTCAGTCCAAGATTTTAATTAAGATGCAATTTACAAAGTGAAAAGTTTTTAGTATCAGATCATACCATTTGATTACTGCAGGTTTTTTTTTTTCCAGTTTCTGGTTTCCTTAGTAGAACTTCATAGGCATTTACTGAATTACAAAGTAACATCATGCTAAGCTTGTTAGTTCCAAAAACAAATTGTACTGCAATAATCATAGAAAGGATAGATTTGCATCTTAGAGTTTAACTGGGTATACACAGTGGTGGGATCCAGCCAGTTTAACAACTGGTTCAGTGATTGCGTGTTTTGTGCACTCCTGCACCTGATGCGCACTATGCACGTGTGCCAGTGGGTTTCAAATTTTTTTTACTACCGATTCTGTGGGTGTGGCTTGGTGGGCGTGGCATGACTAGGTAGGCGTGGCTTGGTGGGCATGGCAGGGGAAGGATACTGTAAAATCTCCATTCCCTCCTGATCAGCTGGGACTCGGGAGGCAGAGAATAGATGGGGATGGAACCAGTCAGAATTTTTACTACCGGTTCTCCAAACTACTCAAAATTTCCACTACCGGTTCTCCAGAACTGGTCAGAACCTATTGAAACTCACCTCAGGCATGTGCATAGTTTTGACAAAACTAAACTTCCACGTTACTTCTGGGGACTAACACAGCTGAGGCATGGCAATCCGCTCTGTTGCGCAAATCAGCTGAGAAGATAAAGGTAAGTAAAATGTGCAGGGGCGGGCAGGCCCACCTGATTGTTGGAGCAAACCGGTTCGCTCCCAGCTGATCATCAGAGCTATCGGTACACCAAACTGGTCTGAACCAGCTGAATTCCACCCCTGGGTTTACATAACCACTCCCTAGTCAGAATTACAGAACAACAGAGTTCGAAGGGATCTTGGAGGCCTTCTAGTCCAACCCCCTGCTCTGGCAGGAAACCCTATACCACTTCAGACAAATGGTTGTCCAATCTCTTCTTTAAAACTTCCAGTGTAGGAGCATTCACAACTTATTTATCTGAGTTTAGTCCTTATTCATCTGAGATTCTGACTTGCTTATCACTGCTTATTTGTCCAGCCAATGTCCCACTAAGTTCTGATCCTATGCTTTGTTGTTTGAGCCTAAGATTGGATTAAACTTCAAGCCTATCTCTTTAGATATGTCAGAAGTGCTGGTGTTTTGTTTTCAGGCCTTGCTTGCAAGGATCTCCTTGTTGCTAGGAAAACCCACGTCTGCCAGCATAACATACATTTTATTTCTAATGGCAACACCACTTTCAATTCAAGTTTAACTCATGGCCTCTGTGTGAGTGTCTTCCTTAGTTCTCTTAGCAATAAGATGTTTCTGCTCTGCTTTCTTCTCAAAAGCCTCAAGCAGCCAGGAGCATTCAACCAACTGGAGCAACTCCAGAAGCTAAGCAGATCAAGATACATCCATCTGAATGCCATCCTCAAACAGCTCATCAAACAAACCAGCCCAAGTTCTCACTTGAGGGCCAAATGACCAGATTTAAATTATCCTAGTTTAGACACTTTATGGGAATGCATGGTTCTAATGCCCCCGTGCATGTGCAGCAGAGACGCAGCAGAGCTGACAGGAGGCGCGTACGCAAGCATGCACAGCGGAGCTAACTGGGGCGATGGCTC